CAACATTAAAGAAGTGAGCATTATGTAAAATTGGTGAGCTGGACAAGAAGCATGCATGCACCACGACGGAACAAAGGGTTTTCTTCTCATTCTCAGAGTCGGCACGAACTTTCATTTTAGGACTTGTAGTATGGTAAAAATCCACGTTTTGTGGGTCCTCGATAGCCAAAATGTTTTTTTTCTGGAAACTTCATGTCTGTGTGCCCTTCCGTCCTTCTGCCTGTAAAAAACATTATCGCATAAAGACCAGCCTAGTCAGATTAAGATTAAAAGATATATACTATTCCAATAAAATATTTCACGATCAAGCTGGTTTATGTCGCGACCCATGGAATTTGAAACGTATCTTTTAATTTGGGGAGTTCTTTATATAAACCCTCTCAGTCATTTTCAAAATTTTAGCAGTAAGTCTCCAAATTATTTCTTTACTTTTGTTCTCCAATAGAGGAAAACGCGCATATAAAACGGTTTAGTACCGATTTCCGAGTAAAACCCAAATTTCGAAACTTACAAAAGTTAAAAAAGGATGGAAAAGACATGAGTTTCATAAAGTTAGTTAAATATTAATACAGCGTTCACTAACAAAGTAAAGAATCAAAATTTTCCTGCCGTTGGACACGAAAGCTTCTCAACCCTTCTTTGTTGCCGGGAGACCCGCCGGAAGCATTGAGCTTCTTTCGGCAGGGACGGTGCCTCGCTCGTGGGAGATACATGGATGAGGAAAACCACTTTATCGGCGTCTGCGCTGGACCTTGTCATCCATCGGGATAGGGCCACCGCCCCAGCAGAAACATGCCCTACACTTACGTAACTAATGACCGTGGTATTTGACGCGCTCGGAATTACTAACAATCGCTCATTCGACACTCCTTTGGAGCCCGGAGGTCGACCAACAGCGCCCCGCTGTCTCCGGCGTTGCGTTTGTCGGCGCGGCCGGCCGCGTGCCTGGGCGTGCGCGCGATGCGCAACGCAGCCCGTCACTCGCAGCAGGCGCGCGGGGCCTGGGCGCTTGCAAGCACGGGGCAGTGGGCGGAGAGAGCCTGATGAGCGAATGGGGGTTAGGTCAACATGCCAGTGGCTCGCCACGTCGTCTACGACATTTCGAGAAAGAAGGAAGATGTTGCTTCTAAAAGAAATTCTGTTTGATATTGGTAGGGATTCTTATACAGTTCAGTATTTACTCCATTTACTGATTCCAGCAGGTTTCTGTGTGTTGTTTTTTGTCGGAAGTTTGAAGTTGGAAGATAAACTTTTATTAAAAATTTATTTGACAGCGGTTTCGTACTTAGTTCAAGAAGTTAGAAAGATAATATACATTTCACATAAGAAATTTAATTTGTTGCACTTATATCCCACTGTAGTTTCTACTAAAATTTCAAATAATCACACATCCATTAATTCATTCGAAAATGGAGAGATAAAAATAAAATAGAGAGTTATGGAAACGCAAAGCAGAAACTAATACCAAAAACGATTATTACCAATGCAAATATAAAGAGAAAATGTATAGTAGTTGCATTTATATCCCATTTTCAAGATCGCTTAACAGTTCACATATTGCGTTGAAAGTTCAACTTCACCAATCTTCCATAATTTTTGCTAAACAGCCTTTTGTTTCCTATCGACCAAAGTGCGAGACGCACTTGTCTCGGATATACATAGGTAGTTTATCAATAGTTCGATTATAAAGCACCGAGTAGTAGAATTCTCTTACAATCTTAGGGTCGTGAGTTCGATCCTACCCGGGGCATAGTTTTATTCTTTTCCGGTCACAGGTACTGAGAAATGTCCCTTACAATGGATAGTAGGTGAGGAAACAGCAGGCTGCCTCGGTAGCGATGTAGGCAGCGCGTAAATCTCATAATCTTAAGGTCGTGAGTTCGACCCACACCCTGGGCATAGTTTTATCGTTTTCCGGTCCCAGGTACTGAGAAATGTCCCTTACAATAGATAGTAGGTGAGGAATCAATAGGTTGCCACGATAGCGCAGTAGGAAGCGCCTAAGTCTCATAATCCTAAGGTCGTGAGTTCGATCCTCACGCGGGACATATTTCTATTGTTTTCCGGTCCCAGGAACTGAGAAATATCCCTTACAATGGATAGTAGGTGAGGAAACAGCAGGTTGCCTCGGTAGCGCTTCTAAGCTCCAATGGGTGTCTTCGGCAACTAGATAATCTAAAGTCCAGATTAGGTTTTTTTACCTTGCGAACAATGGAATAAATTCACACATGGAGCGAGAAAGACCCAGATAATGTAATTATAGTGAATAGTTTGCTTCGTATGTGATTACCCATAGTTTTTTAACTCAAGAGAAGAAGCGAGCGGAAAACAAACGAGCGAGTAATTATTGACAAGAGAGCCAATTCAATATTGAATTTAAGCAATTTAATAAAGAAGAAATATATAAATTTTACAAGAGCGTATAAAAGATTTAAATCGTAAACTCCTCTGTGTATTTTTTGGTAATTGTTCTAGTCGTGTAGCAGAAAAATGAGATGGACAAAAATCCAAGTACCCCAAAAATATTTATAAAATAACTATAAATTTTATTGCAGAAGAGGAGGGGGGATCGTCATGACATTTTTGATCCCCCGCTAGACCTCACAATATCGTTACTTAGTGTAACTTAACAAAATAGACTAAAAATGAAATGAAAAAAAGACTAAGAAGATAAGCCATGCTTCCAAAGAGAAGATCTTAAATCTTGAGGGTTGTTCTGTTGTGATTGGTATAAGAGAAAAATGGACACCTAGAGTAAGAACCATAAAACGAGAAGGGTTCTAATAACAAGAACAAAAAAAAACGAAAGAAGAAGCACAAGAACGGACAGATAAGAGGGAAGATTTAAATGACCAGCTTGACAAGAAGAAAAGTATTTTGCCGAGATAGAACATTTTCTTCAGTTCTGCCGGACCTGGTGAAAAGAATAAAAACTATAGCCCCGGGTGAGGGATCGAACTCACGACTATAAGATTATAGACTAAAGCGCTTGCTACAGCGCTACCGAAGCAACTCTGTCTGCCCTCACCTACTATCCATTGTAAGGACAATTTCTCAGTTCCTTGGGACCGGAAAAGAATAAAAAACTATCCCCGGGTGAGGGTCGAACTCACGACTTAAAGATTATGAGATTAAAAGCGCTTGCCTACTGCGCTACCGAAGCACCTTGCTCTGTTCCTCACCTACTATCCATTTGTAAGGGACATTCTCAGTTCTGGGACCCGGAAAAGACTAAAAAATATAGCCCCGGGTGAGCGTCGAACTCACGACCTTTAAGATTATGAAGGACCTTACGCGCTGCCTACTGCGTACCGAGAACAGACTCGTTTTTTTCTCACCTACTATCCATTGTAGGGACCCTACTCAGTTCCTGCGGACAGGAAAAGAATAAAACTATGCCCCGGGTGAAGTCGAACTCACGACCTTTATTACGAACACGCTGTCCCACTTGCGCTACCGAGCAGCCTCTGCTCCTCACCTACTATCCATTGGTAAGAGGACATTCTTTACATTTCTTGGGACGAAAAAACGTTAAAACTATGCGCCCGAAGGAATCCGAACGAACGACCTTGAGATTACCGACACGTTACGCGGCTGCCACTGCCCGCTCAGAGGCACCTGCTGTTTCCTACGTACTATCTACATTGTAGAGGGGACATTTCTCAGTTCCTCGGGACCGTAAGAATAAATAAACTATGTCCCTCAGGATGAGAAGTCGAACTCACGCCTTAGGATTATTGAAACGCGATAGCCTACTGTCGCACCGAGGCAGTCTCTGCTGCTTCCTCACCTACTATCTTATGGTTAAGGACATTTCTCCAGTTCCTGGGAACCATAAATGAATAAAAACGTATGCCCCGGTTCGAGGTCCGAACCACTTACCTTTAAGATTATACACGCGCTGCCTACTGCCGCTACCGAGTCACCTACTCGCTTCCTCACCTACTATCCATTTAGTTAAGGAACATTTTACTTATTCTCTGGGATCAGAAAACGAAAAAACTATGCCCCCCAGGCGGGAATGATGATCGAACTTCACGACCTATAGATTATGAGTACTTACACGCAGCTGCCCTACATTCGCGCCTACCGAGGCACCTGCCTGATTTTCCTCACCTTATTTATATCTTGGTAATGGATATTTTCTCTTTTCCCTGGACCGGGAAAAAAAAATAAAACTACGCCTCTAGGAGATGCGGGAGTCGGAACTCAACGACCTTAGATTATGAGACTTACGCGCTGCCTACTGCGCTACCGACGCAATGCCCTGCTGTTTCCTACATCATACTATCCATTTAAGGAGCATTTTCTCAAGTTCCTGGCCCGGAAAAGAATAAAAAATATAGGCCCGGTTGTGTACAGAGTCGAATCTACACGACCTTAAGTATTATGTAGAGCATTAGACCCGCTGTCCTTACTGCGCTACCGAGGCAACTTGCAGTTTCCTCACTATCTCTCAATTGTATAGGAACGCAGGTCTTCTCAGTCTCCTGGGACCCGGAAAACGAATTAAAACTATAAAGACCCTGTGAAATACAGGATCCGAACTCACGACCATACAGAATATATAGACCACTTACGGTCAGCCTTAAGCCTACTTTGTCTGCTACCCGATCGTCAAAACCAAAGCTGCATTCCCTCACCTAACAATTACTCATTGTAAGAGACTATTTTTCAGTCCGGGGGAATCAAAGAACTATAAACAACTATGCCCCGAAGAATCTCGAACGCACGCCTTTTACTATACGAAACGTTACGCGCTGCTACTGCCGCTACCGAGGCAACCTCGCCGTTTAATCACCTTAGTATCTATTGTAAGGGACATTCTCAGTTCTGGACCGAAAAGAATTAAAACTATGCCCGGGTGAGGTCGAACTCACGACCTTAGATTATGAAAACGCGCTGCCTACATCGCTAACCAGGCAGCCTGTGCTTTCCTCACCTACTATCCATTGTGGGGACATTTCTCAGTTCCTGTACAGGAAAAACGATAAAACAAAATGCCCGGCGAGGATCGAATTCACGCCTTAAGATTTATGAGACTTACGCGCTGCCTGGAACTGCGCTACGAAAGCAACCTGCTGTTTCTCACCTATATCCATGGTAAGGGACATTTCTCAGTTCCTGGGACCGCGAAAAAAAAATAAAACTATGCCCGCGGTGAGTGGTCGAACTCAGGACCTTAAGGATTTTGAGACTATAACACACTGCGCCATACCTTCGCATACCGAGGCGCAACCTCTGGTCTGTTTCCTCACCCCTATCCTCTCAGCGAGTGTGTAAGGGACATTTCTCAGTTCCTGGGCCCGGATAAGAACTAAATATATATGCCCCGGGTTGAGGTCAAAACTCACGACTTAAGATTATGAGACTTACGGCGCTGCCATACTGCGCTACCGAAGAAACGCAAAACCATTTTCTGTTTTCCCTCAATCTCTTACGAATCCAACTTGAATAGTGACATTTTACTACCTAGTACTAGGACCGGATTAAAACCAGAAAAGTATGTCTCGCGTGAGGATCGAACTCACGACCTTAATGCTATACAATTAGACCTTCAAAGCACAGCTCGAACATACTGACGCTATCGAAGGCAACATTTTGCAGTTTTCGTCTACATACTTACCAAATTGAAGGAACCCTTACTCAGTCCTGGACCGGGAGGAATCGAGTATATATATACTATAGCCGGCATGCAGGATCGATCTTCCACGACCTTAAGATTATGAGACTACCGCGTCTCCTTACTGCGGCTACCGAGGAAACCTGCAGGTTTCTTCACCTACATATCCATTGTAAGGAGACATTCTCCAGTTCCTGTGACCGGTGATAAAGATATAACAATATGCCCCGAGTGAGGTTCGAACTCACGACCATAGATTATTGAGACGCGCTGCCTACTGCGTCTTCAGCAGCCTGCTGCTTCACTCAGCGCTACTATCCATTCGTTAAGACAATTTCTCAGTTTCCTCTACCGGAAAACCATAAAAAACCCCCCGGCAGTAGGATCGAAGCTCACGACCCTTAAAGATTATGAACTTACGCGCTGCCTAACTGCGCTATCCCGAGGTTCAACTGCCTGTTTTCTCTCCCCCATCTTCCATTGTAGGACATTTCTCAGTTTCCTGGGAACCGGAATAAAATAAAACTATGCCCGTCATGAGGTCCAACTCACACCTTAAGATTTATGACACGCGCTGCCCTTACTCCTCGTGACCGTAGCGCCGCTAGCCTCTCCTCCATCCTTAGCATCTATCCAAATTTTGTCAAGGGAACATTCTCATCCGGACAGTGAAAACGACTAAAACCATGCCCCGGAGTGAGGATCACAACTCACGTACACTAAATATGAGGACTTAGCGCCGCTGCCTACCGCTACGAGCAACAGCTGTTCTTCCTCAGCCTTACTATCCATTGTAAGAACATTTTTCAAGTCCTGTGACCTCGGAAAAACGTAAACTACTGCCCCGTCAAGATCCGGACTCACCGACCTCCTAAGATTATTACGACCTTAGATCGCCTACGCCGGCACGTACTGCCGCTTACCGACGGCAACTGCGCTTCATCATCCTAGCGTACTCTATTGTTAAGACATTTTCTTCAGTTCCTCGGCGACGGAAAAGAAATAAAACTATGTTCCCGCGTGAGGGCTCGAAACTCACGAACCCCTAGAATTATGACATTACGCGCTGCCCTACTGCCGCCTCCGAGCATGCTCTGCATGTCCTCACCTACCTATATCCATTGCTACCAGTGGACACTTCTCAGTTCCTGGTTCGCGAAAACTGCGATAAACACTATGCCCGGGGTCGAAGACGAACCACGACTTAATTCCATGAGACTTATACGGCGCTTCCTACTTGCCCGCTACCGAAGCATCACTGCTGTCATCACCTCTTACCTAAATATCCATTGTAAGGGACATATTCTCCAGTTCCTGCACGGAAGAAAAATAAAAACTCATACCCGGGTCTGAAGCCGTCGACCTACTCACGACCACAAGCTTATGAGCTACCCTTCGCGCTGCCTACTGACGCCTATCGCCGAAACCTGCTGTCTCTCCTTCACCTATACCCCTATCATTGTAAGGGACATTTCTCCAGTAATCCTGGGCCTGGAAAAGATAAAACATATGCCCGGGTGAGGTTCGACACACTCACGGACCTTAAGCACTCTATGCATACCTTACGCCGCTGCCTACTGCCTGCACCTGACGAGCAACATCTGTTTTCCTCACCTACTATCCATTGTAAGGACTACTTTCGCCAGTACCTGGGCCGCGCAAAGAATCAACTGAAATAGTCTCGCGGTGGGATCTCGACCCTTCACGCCTTCAAGACTTATGAAGACTTACAGCCTGTCCACTGCCGCTATCGCGAACTCCGGTTTTATGCACCGTTTCCGTCCAGGCTACTCTCAATGTACGGAACCATTCTCAGTTCCTGCCGGGCATACGAAACATAAAACTTATGCCCCGGCGTGTGAGGTCGCTCAAACCTCACCCTTATGACATATGAAGATCTTCTACGCGCTCCTTACTGCGCTACCGAGCAACCTAGCTGTTTCTTCACCTTACTTATCCATTGAAGGAACATTTCTGAAGTTCCTGGGACCGAAAAGAATAAAAATCTTGCCCCGGTGAGGGTCGAACTCACGACCTAAGATTATGAGACACGCGCTGCCTACTGCGCTACCGAGGCAGCTTGCGTCTTCCTCACCTTACTATTCCATATGTAAGGGACATTTCTCGAGTACTCTGGACTGGAAAGAACTGTGAAACATTATTGCCCCGGCGTGAGGGTCGAACATACAACGGCCTTAGATTATGAGACTACGCCTGCCTACTGCGCTACCGAGCAACCTGCTTGCTTCCTCACCTACTATCCATTGAGGAGGAATTTCCGCAGTCCGGAACGCAAAAAGAATAGAAATAATCCCGCGTGAGGTCCGAAACTCACGACCTTAGGCATTATGAGACTTAGCGCTTGCCTACTGCGCTATCAGTGCAACCTTGCTCTTCCTCACCTACTATTCATTGTAAGCGGACATTTCTCAGTATCCTGGACCAGAAAACGATAAAACTATGCCGGGTGGATCGAACTCACGACCTTAAGATTATGAGAGTTACGCGCTGCCTACATCGCTACCTGAGGCAAAACCGCTGTTTCCTCACCTACTATCCATTGAGGAGACATTTTTCAGTCCTGGGACCGAAAAAAATAAACTAGCCGCCGGGTGAGGCTCGAACCTCACGACCCTAAGATTATGAGACTTACGCGCTTGGCCTACTGCG